CTCTCAAAAACCGGGAACAGAAGACAACTTCCTTAATATAAATGAACCTACATCAGAAATCCTCAATTACTATGATATGCTTTCCTCCTGAGACTGAGAACAAGGTATCCATATACTAATCAACACTGCACTGGTGGTCCAGTACAATAAGACATGAAAACGAATTAAAGAGTGTAAAGGTTGGAAAATCAAAATTCAAACTGTCTGTATTAACAGATAACATGAGTGTGTCTATAGAAAACTCCAGGGGTGCCTGGGTGGCTCAGTTGGTTAAGCATTCAACTCTTGATTTCAGCTCAGGTCATGACCCCAGGGCTGTGGGATCTCTAGCCTCCACTGGGCTTCATGGTGAGCAAGGAGCCTACTTAAGATTCTCTCTCTCCCTCTGTCCTCTCCCAACTCACTTGCACTCTCTTCCTCTCTAAACAACAACAAAAGTCCAAATAATCTACAAACTACTAAAAATAATAAGTGAATGTACTAAGATTGCTAGATCCAAAATCCATATTTAAAAAAAATCAATTGTTTACACATATCAGGGCAAACATTTTTAACGGAAAAAAATTTTTTTGAAAGAGAGGAACAGAGTGAGCCACAGAAAGTAGCGGGGGGTTGGGGGGAAACAGAGACAGAGAGGGAGAGAGAGAGAGAGAAAGAGAGAGAATCTCAAGCAGGCTCCATGCCTCACCACAAAGCCTGATGCAGGGCTCAATCCCAAAACCTTGGGATCATAACCTGAGCTGAAATAAAGAGTCAAACACTGAACCAAATGAGCCACCCAGGCCCCCTTAAATGGAAGTTTTAAAAATGCTATTTGTAACATTTAAGAAATTATAAAGCTTTAGAATTAAATCTAATAAAAGATATGCAAAACCTCTACGTTAAAAACTATAAAATGCTGATAAGGGAAAGTAAAAGAAACTTAAAATAAAATGAGAAGTATTTTATGGTCATGGGACTCAAAATTGTTAAGATGTCAATTCTCCCTAAGTTGATTTACAAATTCAATACAATATGAACTGAAATACCAGGATTATTTTGTATGCGGAAAATGAAAAGCTGATTCTCAAATTAACATAAAAATGCAATGGATAGCCAAGATAATCTTTAAGAACAAATTTAGAAGATTTATACTACAAGACAGAAAGATGGTAAGTTACAGTATTAGCACAAGGATAGACAATGAGACTAAGGGACAGAACTAACAGCCAGAAAGAGACCAACACACATATGATCACGTAATTTAGAAGATGCCACTGCCATTCTGTGGGAAAAAGCAAGTCTTTTTTTAAAAAATGTTGTTGGAACATAACTGTATCTCTTTATAGAGAAAAGACAATTGACCACTTCCTCATACCAAACACAGTCAATTTGAGGTGGATCACAAACATAAATGCAATAGGTAAAATAATAAAGCTTCTGGAAGAAAACTTAAGTGACTATTTCTAGGACAATGGGGTAGTTAAAATGTTCTTAATAGGGAGACAAAGCACTATCTACATAAGATAAACATTAACAGATGAGACTTTATTAAAATTAAGGATGCCTATTCAACAAAAGGCATCATTAAGAAAGTGAACAGACAAGCCATACACTGGAGATTGTGATCACACTAGGAGAGGAGGCTTGGAAGCCTGTGTTTGATATTCTCCAAACTTTGTCCCATGGGCCACTTCCTGTTCCTGATTATGCTTTGTACCTTTTAACTATAATATAGCTATGAGCATGGCTATATATATATATATATATATATATAGCATATATAGATATAGCATATATAGATATAGCATATATAGCATATATAGCATATATAGATATAGCATATATAGCATATATAGCATATATATATAGCATATATAGCATATATAGCATATATATATAGCATATATAGCATATATATATATAGCATATATAGCATATATAGCATATATATATATAGCATATATATATATATATATATATATATATATATATATGCTGAGTCCTGTGAGTCCTCATAGCAAATTATCAAACCTGGGAGTTGTGACACACCAAACGTTAGGGATTATGTGGAATAAACCACAAATATTATACTCTGTTGGAGGGAATATAAACTAATCCAAACACTCCGGGAGACCATTTGGCAATATCTACTAAAGCTAAAACATATTTCTACCATATGGCACTATAATTCTACTCTTAGACATTTATTCAAAAGAAATTAGGTACCTATATTCACCAAACACCCTTATAAAAATGTTCATTTATTTGTAATAGCTCATACTATCAACAACTCAAATTCCATTAGCAGGTGAATGGACACGCAAATTCTGACATGTTCACCTAATAGAATATTACAAAGTAATAAAACACACACATAAATACTGACTCAGGTAATAATATGGATAAACTCACTCATGGTACTTTTAAAAAGTTCAACACAAGAGCAGGAAATGTATGGTTCCATTTAAATACAAAAGAGTAGGGACGCCTGGGTGGCTGTGTCAGTTAAGTGTCCAACTCTGGGTCAGAATGATCTCATAGTCTCTGGTTTCGAGCCCTACTTTGGGCTCTGTGCTGACAGCTTAGAGCCCAGAGCCTGCTTGGGATTCTGTGTCTCCCTCTCTCCCTGACCCTCCCTTGCCTGCGCTCTGTCTCTCTCACAAAAATAAATTTTTTTTAATGTTATCCACAAAAAAGTAAGCAGAATACAATTCCATTTATGAGATTCAAAAACTGACAATACTAAGCTATGGTGATAAAAGTTACAAAAAGAGTTATCCGGAGGGGAATAGTGGGCTATGCTATTCAATACATCTGGCTATTTAAATGTAAATAAATTAAAATTAAAAAATCATTTCCCTAGTTGCGTACACCACATTTCAAGCACTCAATGGCCATAATATTGGACAGGATAGGTAGAAATGTACATTTTTATCTTTACAGAAAGTTCTATTGATCTATTCTGTTCTAGGATGATGGGAATTTTCCATATCTTGATCTGGGTGGTAGCCACATGAGTTTTTTAAATATGAAAAAACTGACCAAGTTGTACATTTAAGATTTGTGCACTTTGGGATGCCTGGGTGGCTCAGTCAGTTAAGCCTCCGACTTTCGCTTAGGTCATGATCACATGGTTTGTGGGTTTGAGTCCCGTGTCGGGCTCTGTACGGACTGCCAGCTCAGAGCCTGGAGCCTGTTTCGGATTCTGCGTCTCCCTCTCTCTCTGACCCTCCCCTGCTCATGCTGTCTCTCTCTCTCTCTCTGTGTTTCAGAAATAAATAAAATATTAAATTTTTTTTTAAGATTTGTGCACTTTATATATAACTTATAAGTCAATAAACAAAGAAATGTCTCTTAAATGACTAGGAGAAAAACATGTATAATATACATAACAAAGGATTTATACCGATCTAAAATATGAAACACTACTATAAATCAATAAGGTCAGAAACCTCAATGAAAAATGATAGGCCAATCAAAGGAAAAGATGGCCAACAAACATATTAAATGATGCTTCAGCTCATGAAAACTCAGGGAAAACAATTTAGAACATTGAGATACTACTTTTGCCCACCATATTGTCTAAAATTTATTTGAATGATGTTAACTATTTATAAAAAAAATTAAGTATGAATGTAAGTTCTATGAGTGCAAGAAATCTTACTGTCAAGTTTATTGCTAAATTCTCAAGTTCTAGAACAGTAATTGGTATATATTAGGCACTAAATAAATACTTGTGCAAGGAAGAAAGGGAGAAGGGTAAACTGAGTAGAGAAAAGTATTTCCTTATTCCTATACATTCACCATTGACTAAAGTATAAAATAGGTGCAGCCTTTTTGAGGAGCAATTTTGTAACTTGTATATCTGCTTATCTAGCAATTCCATTTATTTTCTTCCTTATGAAACACTCAAATGTGAACACAAAATATGTGAGAAACTACAGGAATTTGTACTGTAGCACTGTAATAGCAAAAATTAGCAATAACTGGGGCGCCTGGGTGGCTTAGTCGGTTAAGCGTCCGACTTTCGCTTGGGTCATGATCTCGCGGTTCGTGGGTTCGAGCCCCGCGTCGGGCTCTGTGCTGACTGCCAGCTCAGAGCTTGGAGCCTGTTTCAGTCTGTGACTCCCTCTCTCTCTGACCCTCCCCTGCTCACGCTGTCTCTCTCTCTCCTAGAAATAAATAAAACATTAAAAAAAAAAATTAGCAATAACATCTACTGTGCATCAAGGAGGAAATGGTTAAATAAACTATGGCTCTTCAATGCCATGGAATATTACACAGCAAATTAAAAAGAAATAAAGTGGATCTACAGGTATTTACATGGAAAGATCTCCAAGAGATATTAAGTTAAACAAAAAGTTGATTAATGCACACATTTAAAAACAAACCAAAAACATCCACAAAACTATGTATCATATGTATACACATATGTGTACATCAATGCATAGTATCAGGTATAAGAAACTGTAACCGATAATAGTGGTTACTGCTAGAGATGAGAGTTGAATTAGTGGGCAGTGGCTTTTACTTCTAGGTTGGGTTTTTGACAATAAAATGTATTCATGTTATTTACACAAAAACAGCCCCAAAAAAACTATTGTTATTCCTGAGGCATTGTGTTGTTTCTGTTCTACTTCCTAATGTGAAAATGGCTTCAAACTATATTTTTGAACAGATAAAACTAATCACATAAATTAAAGGATTTTTACTTTTTTTCTTTCTCTCCTATTTTTGGGTTTTTTTTAAACACCTGTGTACTTGCCACTTAGTTCAAGAAATATCCAATCACATTAACATAAGGAACTACTATCTACCTAAGCACCAAAACATTTCTCAATTTCAGAAATGGGAATACCTGAAAGCCCAACAGTTAATTTGAATTTCAAATCTTAGATCTTTGAACAAAGATTGTTTAAAGAATTGCTCCTACCCACAGCAATCATTTCCTACTAGGATGAAGCGATGAACAACAAAATAAAAACAACCAAAACTTAAAGAGCCAGTGCCTATCCTACCTGGGTCACTGGAATGTAGAGCGGCTCTCCATTATGTAGCAGTGTGAGTTTTCCATGCTGATGTAGTCGTCCTTCCGGTTTTAAACTTGCCGTCTCCTTAGGTCCTCCTTTTTTGCCACTCTCTTGTCCATTTCCTTTAAGTTCTTCAGTATCACTTAGGCATTCAAAAAATTCTTCTTCACTGTCACTCCAAGAATCCCAAGACTTTCCAACCTCTCCCTTTTCCTTATCAGTATCTTTTAGATTATCTGGCCCTAGCTGGTCTCCAGCTTTTCCAGCATCCCCTGGATACATATCTGAAGTATTTGTCTTTCTCCCCTCATCACGGGCCTTCTTTCTTTCAATACAACAATTTAACATCTTAAGAAAACAGAAACAGCATTTACATTTAAATTAGCTACAATTAAACAAAAACGTACACACTTCTTCAATACTTAATTTGCCTTTCCATCCCTTCCCTGGACTCCGACAGTGACTGTAGTAAGTAACCAACAGCAGCATGATGAGAATAGTGTATAATCCATTATTATATTTAATATTAGAATAAGCTCCAATTAAGACCATATTTAGACACTGTCATTGAGAAATCTTTACCTGTAGTTTCTGATGTAGTAAACAACATCTTAGGTCTGGGGGTCCACTTGCTAATCTATCAAATAAAGTAGTGGGAAAAGCTAGTTTTAGTAAAATGGATTCAGGTATGCAAATTTCTTTTGCTACTATAAGTTTTAGCCATAATGATAAGAAACCAAAACTAGATTTAAACAGGTAAGATAATTGAAATGGAGCAAGTAATACTAAAAGGTCAAAATTTGTTTTATCCTCCTAGTCCACATATAGTGAATATATTTGTCAAAACATAATAACAAACCAGTAATAGCTCTCAAGCTAATAGAAACTTAAAATGTCTCTGAATCCACCTCAGGAAGTAGCTAGCAGACAGTGTTTCACACTATACAAAACAGATTAGATTATATGTTCAGTTCTCAATTATTATTCTCAATATAAAAAAAACACCGATCTCTACCTCGCTTTGCCATGGGAAGCTTAAACTGCCTCTTCTAAACCACTAGGTTCCCAGTAATCAGTCAAGAGATAATACAGCTAAGCAGAGACTAGCAAACTATCTGATAAAGGTATAAATATTTTTGACTCAATCACCATTTCATATTACTCACATCATAATTGTGCTTTAGTATGTGCAGATGAGCAGTGACCAATGCAATATCGAAATACACAGTAGCTATTTTATTAAGTGAAATGTCAACATAAGTTTCACAAAGAACTTACAGGCAATGTTCAATACCTGAACTTATGAACTCTAAAGATGTTTTCTCTTCAACTATAAAAATTTATGTTCACTAGAGAAGATTTAGAAAATCCACAAAATGTATAAAGAACAAAATAAAAATATAATTTTACACTCGGGGTAACTTATGTTAACATTTGGTTCTATTTCTTCTCAATTATTTTTCTATATAGAACAGCAAGACTGAAAGACTTAGTGTACATAACACTATATTCTACTTTCCTGCAAATATGATCGTTTTGTTAGTAGATTCTTGGAAAATATATGTCTTTCCATCATAGACATATATTATGATTTACACTATTCTTTTATGTTTGGTACTTAGGTTGCTTCACCTTTTTTTCCCTATTATAAATCTGCCACAATAAACACTTGTAAATATAAATCATGTTCAAAGTTTCTTACCACTTTCCTAGGGCAGATTTCCTAGGAGAATTAATGTGTCAAAAGTATAATTCTGCTAACAAACAAAAACGTATGTACACAAACAGAAATTGAAATTATTACCCTGGAATCAGAAAGTTGTTTTCCCATCTGAAACGCATTTCAAGAACAAATTCCTGCCAGAGGTGTGCCACTCCCTTCAATCCTCCATGGTAGAAATTGATCATACATAGACACAAAGCCAATTTGTATGTTAAACTGTCAGATGGTGCAGATTTGAACTGATTATAAAGATTCTGAATTTAACAAAATAGAAACAAAAAAAAACTTGTTAACAACATATGTGCCGGTGTATCAAAAACTGTTTGGGGAGAGATTTTAATACTAAAATTAACCTATCCTACCAAACTAGTTTTTATCAAATGTCTAATACATTACTGCCTAAATGATTTTTAAGAATTCTGCAAGGATCAACAAAATGAGGCTATAGTTTAGTGAACCTAAGTCAGAGCCTCCAATTTCTTCTGTGGAATCATCATGATGTAATCCAAATGTGTTGTTTTAAAAATCTTTTAATTATAAATGAATATAAACGTATTACTAAAACCAAACACACAAAATCAGAACTAAAAATATAAAGCCTCTGTTTTTCCTTGTTTCATGAAATCTACTTCCTAAGAAGTAACTAGTGAAAAGAGTTTATCTCTATACCCGTCCCTTAAACATCTCATTTTTCAATTTATACAAGACTTGGATAAGGAACACATGAAAATTTTACTTCATTTTACACAGTTTATTTCATTAGTTTTCTACTCACTGTCTAGTTTTGAAAGACAGAGAAAAAACTGTTGTAAAACATCAATTTGGTAAATTTACAAAAAGTCTAAAATGAGGGAAATCCTACAATCATGCACTATAAATAAACTTACTTTTTCGGTTTCCAGAAAAGTTCTTACTACCCAATCAATATACAGACCAATGGCCAATGTAAAGGGTCATAATCTGAGTGGCGGCCATGATCCCTACTCAAATTTTCCTAAAGTGATTTTGAAAATAAAAAGATCCAGCAAGGCCTGGGTGGCTCAGTCTGTTAAGCGTCCAACTCTTGATTTCATGTCAGGTCATGATCTCATGGTTTATGAGATAGTGACCCACATCAGGCTCTGTGCTGACAACATGGAGCCTGCTTGGGATTCTCTCTCTTTCTCTCTCTCTCTGAGGCTCTCTGCTTACTCACTCTGTCTCTTAAGTAAATAAACCTTTTTAAAAAATATTAAAAATAAAATTAAATAAAATTAATAAAAAAATAAAATGATTCTCATGCTACCAAACTGGCAATAAAGCAACCTCTAGAAATTTAATACACTTATAATATTTTAATATTAAACTCCAACCAACTTACATATTCTTCACTCTCTGAAAGAGGATTATTATTGTCTGTTGAAGAACTTCCATCTAATGGTTTCTCAGAAGCAGCATCGGGAAATAAGAACTTAGAAGAAAAAAAAAAACATTTCAACCAAATTTCCTACTTTGTTTATATTGATAACTCATATAAATACTATTTTACTGTTTAATGGTTTTGCTGTTAAAAATGGAAATGTTCTTACTGTACTGTCCAGTGGTTCTACACTATATCAAATATTTTCCGTTTTTCTTTGAAAATACAGAGTTTCAGTGATTAGCCAATTTTAGAAATCAGATTTTTCTTAAATGTAACCACCTGGATTTATAAACCAAAGAAATGAAAACCAGTATCTCTTCACTATGATCTAACATCATTAAATCTCTTTAAAAGAGGGGCGCCTGGGTGGCTTAGTCGGTTAAGCGTCCGACTTTCGCTTAGGTCATGATCTCGCGGTTCGTGGGTTCGAGCCCCGCGTCGGGCTCTGTGCTGACTGCCAGCTCAGAGCCTGGAGCCTGTTTCGAAGTCTGTGACTCCCTCTCTCTCTGACCCTCCCCTGCTCACGCTGTCTCTCTCTGTCTCTCTCCCAGAAATAAATAAAACATTAAAAAAAATCTCTTTAAAAGAATTAAAAACAAAACAGAAGGAAAAAAATTTTAACATCATATATTCATGAGGTTCCATGAAGTCGTATCACCCATGGGTTTTCATATATGAAATATTGAGTATGATATTTAACACCTAACCTTACAAGATATCCCTTGAAAGCCAGAAGCTGCCTAAACCTGTTAATGACCAGTTTATCTTTTCAATGTAGTTTCTCTTTATGTGTGTGTAGGTGTGGTAAAAAAAACAAACAAACAAACAAAAAACAGTGCATATGACAGCCAAGCTAAATAACTAGGATAAAATCTCTAAGGGTATATTCTTAAGGGGCCTTCTGTGCAAAAATTTGTTTTCAGTCCTTTTACTTTTCAGTCCTTTTTTACACTGTTTCTCCCGAGTGTTTTGTGGTACTGCTGACTTGTGATTCCTTTTACTATGGATACGTCACCACATATTACAGAACATCTTCAAGACATTTTTTTTTTTTTTTTAATTTAAAGGAACTGCTATGTACCAACTGTCACTACCAGGTACATTTGGAAACAATATCCTACTCTAGTACCACTGTGTGTTACTGCCTACCTCCTACATATACACAAACTAAAAATGTGGTTAAGAGTCTTATGTAAATTAATGGCAGGGGTGAGATTAACATCAAGTTTCCGAATCCTGCATTCTTTTCATTGCACTACTCAAAGCTTGTTCCCAAGATTGTCCTAATGCAAAAATAGCCAGAAGTATAATTATAACTACAATTATAGTAAGAACAGCTATCATTTATCAGAAGCCTATTATATGCCAGGCAGTGTAACAGAAGGTCCTTTAATCTTCCCAGCAATCTCACAGGGTTTTATTAGCTTCACATATAGATGATGAAACTGAAATTAAATGACTTCTTCAAAATTATATGGTAAGTCAGGATTAAACCCTGGTGTGTATGGTTCCCAGGCTAGGCCTGTTCCACCACTCTATACCTAAGGGACACCTTAGCTCCTTCTAGTACTTACTATAAAGTTCCCTAGACTTTTGTGAAAAGAAGTTTTCAAAAATACAATTCTGATGTTGACCGTCTGCTTAAAATAGTATGAAACTGCAAGATAAAGCCCAGTGTTTCAGCATGGCAGGTTCCCGACTATCTCTCCAGCCCTGTCACTCCCTGAAAAGCACCCTATGATACATCAAACTGTTCAATATGCTTTCACACGTCTCTGTTGTTTCTCTCTTTCTACAACCTTCTTCTCTTCAAGATGCAACTCAAATGTCCTGATTCCCACTGCCCAGATAAAGATATACCCTCTGCTGTGTTCTCACAGTCACTATGCCAGGCTTCTCCCGTGAAACATGGCATTATAACTACAGTTTACTTTCTTTCTTCCCATTAAACTAGTGGGAATTCTCTAAATTTGGAGACTCTTACTCATTTTATATTCCCAATCCTGTGCTTGCCACACAGAAGGGACTAAACAGAATAAATGAGTATGCACACAGACATACAAAGTTAATACATTTAATTACCAAGAGAATAGTATTGAGGACATCATTATTCAGTGGTGATTCTTCTACACCTCTGTGTTTTCGTATTTTCTTCTTTGCAGTATGTACCATGTTTGAAACTGATAATTTATGAATTGGAACTGGTGCTGGTTCTGTCAATTTTGACAAAGCATGAGTTATATCAGCAATTTCTATAAAAAGAATAGAAACAAATGCACATTATATCACACCCTTAGCAAGTAAAAGTGATGAGCAAACTGCTGATTCTATAAAATATTTTAGTCACTCTTTTCACTGTTATTACATTGTCTCAGAATTCTAAAATTTAAATAAACATATTCAGCTTTATATGCATCCATGATTGACAATCGTATAACACAAACCATTTCTCCCCAGAAGCTCAAAAATAAACCTTTAAAAACCCTGCTTTTCAAAATATATTACAGTTTTGGTAGAAAGAACTTATTAAAAGTGCTTAATGTTTTAAGCTGAGGGTATAACCTGGAGAGATATGGTAGCAGTCTAGTCCATCAAAACTTGCTTTTCCAACTTCATTCAAATATGAAAAGAGATGAAAAGTTGCTGGAAAATGTGCCAAGGAAAAAGGGTTAGACTTTGAAACTAACTTAAAAAAAAAAAAAAAAAAAAGAAAAAAGAAAGTAGGTCACCTCTCCCTTCTTCCTCAAATGTGGATCGTCCAAGAATCTCATCAGTTGACTCTTTTCGACGGCAAATTTTAAAAAATTCAGTGACAAAATCACCTACAAAGAAAAAATGTTACTCATTTTTGACACTTAACTAAAAGAAATCAGTCCTACAAATTAAAGTATATATCTTTTCACAAAAGCTAGAACTAAGATATGGTAGAGAAATAAACCATTCAGTTTTTCCACCAAAGACAAATACTAATCCTATTTCAAAGATAGCCTTGTTCTTCCTTTCTCTCCACGTTCTTGGATATAAAAAAAGTTTTTCCTTAGAATTCTTTCTAGAATGAAAGGAAAAGTAACTGTATCTAAAAATATTACACTCTATGTACCCAAATAAGACAAATCATATCTTTTCTCACTGAGTTGTTCTCACTGAGTTATAGAAGTAACAAGAGTATTACTATAATCACATAGTGCCACCCTAACTGCCACCCTTCTAGAGACAAAGACAGTGCGATCTTTATTTTTTGAGAGAGAAAGAGATAGTGAGTGAGCAAGCAGGGAAGGAGCAGAGAGAGAGGGAGACCCAGAATCCAAACCTGTCAGCATAGAGCCCAATACAGGGCTCGAACTCATGAACCGCGAGTTCGTGACCTGACCCAAAGTTGGACACTGAACTAACTGAGCCAACCAGGCATATGATTAATTTTAAAGAACCCAAGAAAATGATGCTTTAGATAAATACATCATTACTGTCATCAATAAATACTTAGAACTCCCATTTGTTGAATGGTAATATATCAGGTTATATGGAGTGAAGTGGTTTGGACGAACATGAAAATGGAGAAAATATTTTCATGTGTACTAAATATAAGAGAGGAAAAAAATGCAAAGACACACTGAGGAGATGGGTTCAGAAAATTTCACCAAAGAGATACACCTACAAAAATGATAAGAGAAAGATAATGCCAGACATGATATACAATAATATTATCCCAATGGCAAATCAACATTTTTTCAGAGGATTTCTAATATTTCACTTGATTTTCAAATAACTCTATGAGGTGTACAATATTATTTACACCTCATTTTCCTCTATCACAAAACAAGTTTGCAGATGTGCTCCAACTCTTTGGAAAGGCTCTAATTAGACTGTCAAAATCAGTATTCCTTCTATCATATACCACAGGTCCAGAAGACAACAAAAGGCCGAAAGTGCTGCACTAAAAAGAATGAAAGACGGAAACATCTTCCACAAGAGGGAAAAAAACATAAAAAATTATGTTATGAATGACATAACAGCATTAGAAGAATAAAACTCAGATCACAAGAAAACATCCAAGCTTTCTGAGGTATAGACTGGTTAAAACTAAAAGATGAGAAAGAAAGGTCCTGCTAGTGCTATTTAAGAGTAACTAGGGTTCATTACTGTTGTCAAAGATTTCTTTCCTTGTGGTGTTTTTTTTTTTAATTTTTTTTTTATGTTTTATTAATTTCTGAGACATATAGACAGTGTGAGCAGGGGAGGGTCAGAGAGAGGGGAGATACAGAATCTGAAAAAGGCTCCAGGCTCTGAGCTAGCTGTCAACACAGAGCCTGATGCAAGGCTCGAACCCACGAACTGTGAGATCATGACCTGAGCTGAAGTCGGACACTTAACCAACTGAGCCACCCAGGCACCCCTCTTTCTGTGGTGTTAACCAAGATCACAAAAAAACCACAAAAATGTACCCTACCCTTTTGATAGGTGAAATAAAGTATAAAGAATACATTCAGTCTTCCTAATCCAGAAGACAGGCAGATTGATGAGGAAAGAACATAAATTCAAGAAAGTAACATAAATATGTCTTACCTAGCAAACACTGAGGATTATCAGCTTTTCGAACTCTAACAGACCAATGGGGAGCCTGAATAGGATCCAAATCACTAAATGGAAAACAATAAACATAAGATCCTAATTATGACAATCTGCAACTCATCAATTTATCAAAATGCAGTCTAATTAATTCTATAAAAGGACAAGCAATCCATTTTGCCTCCATTAAGCTTACTGTTACTCAGATGCATAAAGTCATTTGGATAAGTTTTAAAAAATAAATATCTTAAAAAATCAAAGTCTGTAGACAAAAAAGTACAAAAGGAAAAACCAGAATCAAAACAGAATAATCAAAGCACACATATAAAAATTATTTTGAACAGATAATATATAATGATAATCTAATAAAACAATTTTAGGAATACTAAAAAAGAAACAAGAAACAAGCAAGTATGCACAATCGTCTTCATCAGTTTTTTATAACAGTAAAAACAAAGACTACAAAAATTTGTACAATATGAAAAGTACTCTATTTTCTCAACTAAATAGATTACTGTGTATCCACTCAATGAAATATTATGCAGTAATTTTAAAAAAAGCAACACAGATCTATATTTACTGGCATAAGAATGTAAAGTAATACACTAAATAGAGCAAATATATACACATTTAAACTTTAAAGAGATATACTCCCAGATACTGAATCATTCTGCTGTACATGTGAAACAAATACAATGTTACGTATCAATTATTAACTCAGTTTAAAAAAAAGGATATACCCCAAAATGCTATTTTTCAAGTAATAGGTTTCCATGTAGTCCTTATTTTCTTCTCTATATCTACCTAACTTATCTAATTAAGAAAGCTCATGTTACTTTTATAATGAACAAACACAGTTATTTCAATTATATCAAAAAAAGCATCCTACTTCTGTTTGCATCATGCATGAGAAAGTACTAAAACTGAGTTCCCTTTTCTCCATTCTTCCTAGACAATATTTGCTATAATTTTTTAGATGTTTCCATTGCACAAGAGTACATGACTGGCATGTTTTGTTACTTATAACATTTAATGATCAAATATTACTCCCATACATTCTGATGACCATTATTTCTTAAAGTATTTCAGGAAATGCTTCTAACTAGCTAAAAAAAATTCAACAGAATTATGCACTGAAACCCTGCTTAGAGACACCCTTGCTAAAACAAAATAAGACGGAGATTGTTTGGGTGGGTAAGGGGTTAAATAGGCGATGGGAATTAAGAACTACACTTGTGATAAGCACAGGTCAGGTATGGAAGTGTTGAATTACTATATTGTACTCTTGAAACTAATATAACACTGTATGATAACTAACTGGAATTAAAATAAAAACTTTATAAAAAGATTGTTCATTATCCCTGAGCTAAGGATCACATCCCCAAAGTCAGCAGCTTAAAACACATCTCTAATATATTTAATCAGTCTAAAAATCAATCTTTTAAAGTAGAAAAATCAACTAACCTCATCAGAAGCTAATATAAAGAAAAAGGGAAGATGCTAATCACTTGGCAGTTAATTTATTCTACTGAATAAATATAATACTCAATATAATACTCTTAACATACTTACGAATAAACATCATTATCCACAATGATACCTTCAGTCAGGTGAGGCCATGTAGTTGCTAAATGGAGTTCACTAAAATAAACAAAACATAAAAATACTATTAAAAGCTTTGATAGTATGTGTATACCCTCAGACTCAGCAATTCTATTTCTAGAAATGTATTTTAAGTAAATAACCAGAAACTCACATATAATTATGTTAAAAGTGGTGCTATTTATAATACAGTAAAACAGGAGACAACTAGTTTAGCATACCCATATGAAGGTACTATCTTACGGATATTAAAAACACATGCTAGGGGCACCTGGGTAGTTCAGTAGGCTAAGCGTCCAACTTGGGCTCAGGTTATGATCTCATGGTTTGTCCAGCCCTGTGTCTGGCTCTGTGCTGGCAGCTCAGAGCCTGGAGCCTATTTGGGATCTGTGTCTTCCTCTCTATCTACCCTCCTCCCCACTCACGTTCTGTCTCTCAAAAATAAACAAACATTAAAAAAAAATAAATAAACATACTAGGGGCACCTGAGTGGTTCAGTCGGTTAAGCATCCAACTCTTGGTCTCGCCTCAGGTCGTGATCTCACAGTTAGTGGGTTCAAGTACCACAAAAGGCTCTGCACTGACAGTGCGGAGTCGGCTTGGGATTTTCTCTCTCTCAAAACAAACAAAAAAAAAAAAAAAAACACATGCTATATATAATAGCCAAAAATATAAATAACCCAAATATCTATCAGTTGATCAATGGATATAAAAATGTGTTATCACCATACAATGGCATATTATACACCAATAAAAAGCAATGAAACACTGACTCATGCTATAATATGGATAAACCTCAAAACCGTTTTGCTCAGTAAAAGATGTCAGATAGTAACAACCAAATCTACATAACGCAATTTACATGCAATGTCCAGAACAGGCAAGGTAGACTGTATTTGCCTAGAGCTGGAGGATCTGGGAAGATTGGGGGGATGACAGTTAAGAAGTGAAGGGTCTCTTTTTGGGGTGATAAAAGTGCTGTGGAATTAGAAAGAGATGATTACACAACTCTAAATACTACAAACCACAGAACTGTATACTTCATATGGTGAATTCTATGGTATACGAATTCTACCTCAATTTTGAAAAAACATAGATCAGAAGTTAGCAAACTTTTTCTACAAAGTACCAGGGGAAAATATTATTGTAGGCTTTTGGAACTATGCAGTCTCTGTTATATTTCTATTTTTTCTTTAAAAACCCTAAAATATGTAAAAACTATTCTTAGTTCATTGGCTATACAAAAACAGGCTACTGGTCAGATCTAATGCACAGGTCATAGTTTGCTGACCTCTTCATATTCATATATATATATATATATATATAAACATTAAGTTTCAAAAAGCTTTCACGTAAATTATAAAGAATACAAGCCACAAAAAACATAAAGGATGACATATGTTTATAAAAATATACAAACATACTTTGCACAAAAGAGTTATCATAGCAGGCCTAATACTTAGAAAAGGAGTACTTGCAGGGTTCTCCCCTGACTTGGCATCTGGGAACTTGGATTTGGGGAAGGTTCCTACCAATCCTTGACAGGAGTGACACACTCTACCTAAAATACTGGTGCAAATCTATGGTTTATGCTGAACACCTGTTTTCCTTCTGGTACATGTTTATCCCCAGATAAACACACCATGCACTGAGCTTCCAATCCGCTTCCCTGGTAGACAGTGTTTCACACATGTTGTCACAATTCACTGCTAGGAGAATTAAGTATGTCCTATGTGACTACACTGGGAAAGGAAACTTGTCCCTGGCTTTCTCTGGACCTCACCCTATATGTCTTGTTCCTTTGCTGATTTTTGTGTCGTAACTTTTCAATGTAACACACCATAGCCATGAGCACAACTAAATGGTGTGAGTCCTCTTAGCAATCAGTGAACCTGAGAGTGGTCTTGCAGAGACCAAGCTGTCATCAATCACCACCTGTAATTAGTGGGATTATGAATTTAGTGAGTATTTTTATTCCTGTCTGAATTTTATTCTGAACCCACTTCCTGGAGTGTCAAGTTTGGAGAGCAAAGAAGCCAAAAGAGTCAATTACTTTTATTTCTCTGATCTTTAGTAGTGCTCAGCTGACTGATAACTCCAGTCTGGACTCACTAACAGGGACAGTGCTTCACAACTATGTAGTATAACCTCAGTTAATAACTAGACAACAACATCAAAAAAAGAAAACTGGAGAAATCTGAATAAAGTCTGTATCATAGTTGCTAGTATTGTGCCATTATTAATTTCTTAGTTTTGATAATTGTATTGTAGTTACACTAACTTCAGAGGAAGCTATTATGTGGTAATTCTCTGTCCTATTTTTGCACCTTTTCTGTAAGTATAAAATTATTCCACAATAAAGATGTTTTAAAAAAAAAAAATAACTAGACAACAAGCCACCCTGGGCTCGAGCCTATTTTCTGAGCTGGGTCCTCTAAGGGTCCCAATGAAAACCCTGTGTTATCAAATACTTCTTCAGGAAGCTGAGTTTTTGCTTCAATTAGTCAGAGTTGACTACCATAGTTTACAAATAAGAAACGTGACTGGTGAACATATGACTTTTGCCTTTTTTTTAAAACATGCTTTCTAAATTTTTCTTACTGAGCATAAGTTTATTACTTTCATTATAGAATAAAGTTTTAAGGTGAAAAATGACTAGAAAATATATATTAGAGGACATGAATGATAAGTTTAAAATCCTAAGCTCTGAAATAATTTTGGGTATTAACCTCAGATTCAGTTCCTAAGCTTTTATGACTATGTCCTCTCCTTTCCCTTAAGTGTAAAACAACTGCTCTGACAGGGAGAGGACACTGAAAAAAAGCCTCATTTCCTCTTCCACTTCTTCCACCATGCTTTGCAAAAGCATAGTGCCCACAGCATTTGCTAATCACCATATGATTTAAACTGTCTACCACATATACCATCTTACTCCCAAATTATTTTTGTATTCTTCAATCATGTTTCTCTGATGGTTCATTCATGATTTAAAATTAAGAAGAAATATTTAATAATTCCTTCACATTTCTATGATCAAGTCAATTTTATTCTCTCTCCCTAAAATTTTCTCTAAGCAAAATCTAAATGAATGAACCTGCTGGAGGGCCACAAATATACCATTTCTCCCTTGCTCACTATGCCATGATGCATAGTTTCCCAGGAAACCGGAGTTTCCACCAATAAACTGGCCAAACTCTCTTGCATCAAGGCCCTCCACACAAGCTGTTGATTTTCCCAGAATGACCATTCTTTCTCTCTGCCAGCGAAATCCTCCCTAACTGAAATGCTTCCTTTGAGAACACTTTCCTGATGGCATCTCAATCCAAACTAGTTCTTTATTTCACTATTACTACATCTTGTCCATTTCCTTCATAGCTTGTAATTGTATGTTTATTTAGGTGATTATTTTGTCTATTTCCATCAGACTACAAATGCCAAGAAACCAGAAATTGTTTTATTTACTTCTGTATCTTCCTAATTCAGCACAATGCTTAGCACATATAATATCAATTACACAAGACACTTATTTTATCTTCTCTCTTGTGTGATTTTAAATTAAAAGTATTATTATTTTTAGCTCTATGTAAGAGTACTAACAATATATGTATGCACCTTTGCGGATGTGACAATCTCCCCACAACAACATACCCCTCAGGAAGAATTTCCTCAATTACCCCCTGAAAGAGGAAAAAAGGAAGCACAAAAAGACGCACCTGGTGCAGAGCTCCATCCAGTTCCTACTTCAAGGACATGAAGTGCCCACAATGCTATAAAATCACCACCATCTTTAGCCACAAGGCACTAAAAGCATGCTGAATCAAGATGAGTGGGAAACCATCCCAATAAACACATTTCGGATACCAAAAAAAAGTATGTGTGTGTGTATATATTTGTTAACTAACCAGATGGTTTAACTAAACAAATAAAACAGTTTCTAAATCAGCACTGTTTATATTTTCCAAATATTTTGCTCTCAGTGATTAAATTTTCTGAGACATTTTCTTATGTAAAATTTTCTTAAATTTCAGTGGCTCTTATAGAATAACAGTTGGGTAACTTAAGAGGTCACCTTTGTATACCTTAGTTAAGTCTTAATTTGCATACCTGGAAAAAGTGGTCAGAAATGTAAACACTTGCTAATTCTCAATGATGAACATATGGTAGTTTGTTATATATGACATTCTCTGTGCTTTTCAATGTATAAGATGTTTACCAAAAAGTAGGCCCAGAATCACTTCTATAAGGAATTACCAATAAATGGTATTATACACTTTTTATGTGTGATTTTAAAGCCTTTTATTTTTTAAAAAAATTTTTTTAAGTTTATTTATTTATTTTGAGAGAGAGCAAGTAAGCAGGGGAGGGGCAAAGAAAGACGGAGAGAGAGAGAATGCCAAGCAGGCTCTGCACTGTGAGCACAGAGTCCAACACAGGGCGCAAATTCACATGCCACGAAATCATGACCTGAGCTGAAACCAAGAGTTGAACGCTTAGCCAATTGAGCCACCCAGATGCCCCAAGCCTCTTGTATTTCTTAACTTATAGAGAAAAAAAGCAGATGGACTGATTGTTAGGTGTAGATCTCTTTCTGATACTATACTCATTTCAAAAGGCTACAGTATTACAAAGCACAGTAAAATCAGTATTAATATAAAGAGTAAAGTCCCATAATTCAAATGATATATTAAAAATCCCACCTTATAGGATCTTCACAGGCACCAAATGGTAGCTTGCCAAACTCCAGGCCTCCAACTTCTCCTCCTACAAGGGCATCTATATCTAAACAAAAAAAATAATTTTCCATTATTGAACAGAAAATTTAAGAAATAAGTATTTAATTTAGCTAAGTTAACTCTTTGGGAGATCACAGATTTAAATGTGCCTGTATAAAGAGCACATACGTAAAGTTAGAGAACAGTCTAGTTAAAGACTTCCCCCTAGACTGTTATCATAAAAGTACACCTTCAATTCCTATTTATACAGTGCTTCATTCAAGCCATGCATTCTACATTTCACCCTTTTGAAATATTTCTTAAATACTGCTTGAGAGAACATTAATCTGGTAATTTTTTTTTTATTTTTTAAGAATGTGATTAATATCATCTATAAGAATTAAAATTGAAGTATAAAAAATTTAATCACCAACTTATATTCATCAGTTTTGTTGTCAATAATTTCTATAGAGCAAATTAGTTATCATTAATAAATTTTTATTTCAGTTGATAGTACATGGAAAAACTTGGAGTTTATCAAAGAATTTCCTTTCTGTTCTGAACAGTATCTGAGATGAGAGGAGAATTTAGAGGGTAAATCACTCCCCTTAGCTCCACCCCTCCTAAAGAAGTAATAAACACTTCTAAAAGACATCAAAAGGACTTACTTCTCTTTGAAATAATTCAGATGGCTGTTTTTCATTATTTGCACTATACTGGGAATTCCTCAAATTAAAGTCTATTGTTGAGTTATGAATATTCCCCAGATTTGCTAAAATCATGTTTGACGATTACTTATAACCTAACTAAATTAATAATTAAATAGGGCTCAATTACTTGATTCAGTAAATTTTCAAGTTAATTTCATTCCATTTTTCCAGCTAACAAATACTTATTATAGTAATAAAGATTACAATGACTAGCTTTATTACAAGATGTGAATTTTTAAGATCTTCACAATGTATAATAAGCATACTTTGTAAATAAGCTAAAAATTATGTACCGTAACTGTACAATAGTTTTAATTCAATTAAACTCAGAAGCAACACTATGGAATGAAAGGATCATGGAATTTGGAGTTTGACCAATGTTTGAAAACAAACTATCACTTGTGACCCTGGACCAGTTACCTATCTTCTCTAAGTTACATATGTTCTCCAAGAAAGATAATACCTGTCTCATAGATAAACAATAATTACATGAAATAATATGTAAAATGCCAAGTACAACATCTGGTCTGTATTACATGTTCAAATCCTTTCCTTCCCTTCATAGAAGAAAATATTAAAAATTTATATGGCCTTCAATTCACTGAGGAATAAGATAAATATTTTAATTCCTCATTTAAAAAACTAGCAAGAAACATTAACAAAGGCCGTACTGGCAATCAAAATTATCAAGCTAACATTCTGGCTCATGGGCTTTCTCTTAGATCATCAACAGACTATACCATCTTGGGAAATATTTAAAATTGACTTATTGGGGCGCCTGGGTGGCTTAGTCGGTTAAGCGTCCGACTTTTGCTTGGGTCATGATCTCGCGGTCCGTGGGTTCGAGCCCCGCGTCGGGCTCTGTGCTGACTGCCAGCTCAGAGCCTGGAGCCTGTTTCAGTCTGTGACTCCCTCTCTCTCTGACCCTCCCCTGCTCACGCTGTCTCTCTCTCTCTCTCTCTCCTGGAAATAAATAAAACATTAAAAAAAATAAAAAAAATAAAATAAAATAAAATTGACTTATTAATAATAGAGCAGCCTTTGAAAAAAGGAAAGGGAAGGCAGGAATTGAAGCTTTCACCTAGAAAGTGACTATAAATTGCCTAGAAGGTATTGTTTTCTGGGAACAAAAATTACCAAAACAAACATTTGTGTCTTTCTTCTAATTTAACTCTCAGTTTAGCTTTTATTTCACTTTGCTGTAGTTTAGATGTAGTTCTTTCATTATCACATTAGAGTTTCAAATTATTCTGTAGTACATAAATAAGATACTAGCAGATATATAAATACCAAAGTCTAGGGTATACTACATTAATTCTAATATCATCCTAAGACTGCCAACTTTCCATCCTATAAATAATCAATTACTTGGAACAAAAATAAACAGTAAAGAATATTGTTGTATTCTAATTTGTTTTTCTCAGCGGGGGTGGGGGTGGGGGAGTAGACTGGAAAATGCTTTCAGGCTGGTAAAATCCGCATAATTATTTATAAGTTTGTTATTAAATTTCTTGTTACATACAATTGAATATAATTACACTTATACATGAGAGAAACACCTAGGAACCAAATCCTCAATTAGGCTATATGTCCACCAGGGTGAACTTTTCTAGAACTTAGGTAATGTCTTGTTTGTACATGCAACCCAGACAACAACCTGGCCTATAATAACTAGCTAATAATTAATGATTACTAAATGAATCAGTCTACCAGTATATACCAACTTATGGCAAACTTGGTAAATGATTTTAATTACATCAAATTCGACTTGGAAATCTCCAAAGATAGTGGAGAAGTAGGGAGCTCCGTCCATCTCACTCACCCCCATTTCTCAAATAGAGAAGGCCTGAAGCCACAGGAACCCTTACAGAATGGCAGAGTTTGGGAGGAAGAGGAGACAGAGTCCACTGAGAAAGGCGGGAAAAAAAAAAAACCTTATAGGGCTACCTCAAAAAAAAACAAGTCAAGTACACATGGTAGAGAGTCCAAATACCAACATGAGTAGGGAAATAAAATAACCAAAGTCTCAACAAAAGAGACCAAGAGACACCATTCAAAGAACACTTCTTGAACAGACAAGTTTCTTTAATACAGCAGTACTCGAAGGTACAGTGTGCATAACAAGCTTTTAAAACTAATAAGAGACACAGCATCCCTCCTCATCAGGGAAATACAAATCAAAACCACACTGAGATACCACCTCACGCCAGTCAGAGTGGCTAAAATGAGCAAAGCAGAGAACTCTAGATGCTGGCGAGGATGTGGAGAAACGGGCACCCTCCTGCACTGTTGGTGGGAATGGAAACTGGTACAGCCCCTCTGGAAAACAGTGTGGAGGTTCCTCAGGAAACTAACAATAGAACTCCCTTATGACCCAGCAATAGCACTGCTAGGAATTTACCCAAGGGATACAGAAATGCTGAGGCATAGGAGCACATGTACCCCAATGTTCATAGCAGCACTCTCCACAATAGCTAAAACATGGAAAGAGCCTAAGTGTCCATCAACAGATGAATGGATCAAGAAGATGTGGTTTATCTATACCATGGAATACTACATGGCAATGAGAAACAATGAAATCTGGCCATGTGTAGCAACATGGATGGACCTTGAGGGTGTTATGCTGAGCGAAATAAGTCAGGCAGAGAAGGACAAATACCATATGTTTGCACGTATAGGAGGATTAGGAGGAACTTGACGGAGCAACAAGGGGGAGAAGAAGGGCGGAAATGGTGGGGGAAAGGGAGAGAGGCAAACCATGAGAGACTCTTGAATGCTGACAAAAACTGAGGACTGATGGATGTGGGGGGGAGGGGGGGAGGGGCATGAAGGAGGGCACTTTGGGGATGAGCACTGAGTGTTATGTAAAAACTAATTTGACAATAAACTATTTGTAAAAAAAAAAAAAAAAAACTAATAAGAGACAAAAGCTAGCCAAAATGATGAAACGGAAGAACTCTCCTCCAAAGAAATTCCAGGAAGAAATGACAGCTAAAGAACTGCTCAAAACAGATATAAGCAACATAACTGAAAAAGAATTTAGAACAATAGTCATAAAATTAATCACTGGGCTTGAAAAAGGCATGGAAAACATCTGAGAAACTATTGCTAAAACATCTATGGAGCTTAAAAATAGTTGTGATGAATTAAAAAATGCTATAAATGAGCTGCACAATAAAATGGAGGTGTCCAATGCACAAATTGAAAGGTAGAGAGGAAAACAGGTGAGTTAGAAGACATACAAAAAGAGGAAACCGAGAAAAAAAGAGATTAACTGATCCAGGAACACGAAAGGAGAGTTAAAGAGCTGAGTGATACAATCAAACAGAACAATATCCATATCATAGGAATTCCAGAAGAGGAGGAAAGAGGGAAAGGCAATGAAGGAGTCCTTGAACAAATTACAGCTGAGAACTTCCCCATCTGGGGAAGGAAACAGACACTGAAATCAAAGAGGCACAGAGAACTCCCCTCAGACGTAACTTGAATCGATCTTCTGCACGACATATCATAGTGAAACAGGCAAAATTAAGGACAAAGAGAGAATTCTGAAAGAAGCTAGGGATAAAAGGGCCCTAATATAAAAAGGGAAACCTATCAGGGTGGTTACAGACTTATCTACTGAAACTTGGCACGCCAGAAAGGACTGGCAAGATCTTCAATGTGATGAACAGAAAAAATATGCAGCCAAGAAATCCCTATCCAGCAAGCCTATCATTCAGAATAGAAGGAGAGATAAAAGTTCTTCGCAAATACACAAAAATTGAAAGAATGTGTCACCACTAAACCAACCCTACAAGAAATCCTGACGGGGACACTATGAGGGAAATGTGGCAAGGAACATGAGGTACCAGAGACACCACCACAAGCATGAATCCTACAGAGAACACAATGACACTAAACCCATATTTTTCAATAAGAACACTGAATGTAAATGGACTAAATGCTCCAATCTAAAGACACAGGTTAGCAAATGCATAAAAAAACAAAATCCATCTATTTGCTATCTCCAAGAAACTCATTTTAGACCTGAGTACACACTCAGATTGAAAGTAAGGGGACGGAGAAATATCTATCATGCTACAGGAAGTCAAAAAAGAGCTGGAGTAGCTATACTTATATCAGACAAACTGGACTTGAAGGTAAAGACAGTAACAAGGGATGAAGAAGGGCATTATATAATAATTACAGGGTCTATCCATCAGGAAGAGCTAACAATTATGAACATCTATGCACCAAATACAGAAGCATCTAAATACATAAAATAGTTAATCACAAACAGAATCAATCTTATGGACAAGAATGTGCTAATAGAAGGGACTTTAATACTCCACTTACAGCAATGGATAGATAACTAGACAGAAAAAAAATCACTAAAGAAACAATGGACTTGAATGACACATTGGACCAGATGACCTGACAGATATATTTAGAACTCTACATCCTGAGGCCATGGAACTCACTTTCTTCTCAAGTGCACATGGCACATACTCCAAGAAAGATCACATAATGGGACATAAAGCAGCCATCAATAAAAATAAAAGAACAGAGATCATACAATGCACAATTTCAAATCACAATGCTATGAAACTTGAAATCAACCACAGGAAGAAGTCTGGAAAACCTCCAAAAACATGAAGGTTAAAGAACACCCCACTAAAGAACGAATGGGCCAATCAGGAAATTAGACAAGAAATTTAAAAACATATGGACTAACGAAAATGAAAATACAACAATTCAAACTCTATGGGATGCAGCAAAGGCAGTCCTAAAAGAAAAGTACATTGCACTCCAGGCCTATTTCAAGAAATGAGAAAAAGCGCAAGTACAAAATCAAACAACACACCTAAAGGAACTAGAAGGAGAGCAACAAGAGCACCCCAAACCCAGTAGAAGAGAAATAATAAAAATCAGGGCAGAAATAAACAATATAAAATCCAAAAAAAAAACAGTTTAACAGATCAATGAAACCAAGAGTTGGTTTTTTGAAAAAATAAACAAAATTGACAAACCTGTAGCCAGGCTTCTCAAAAAGAAAAGAGAGAGCACCCAAATAGACAAAATCATGTATGAAAATGGACTTATTACAATGAACCCCTCAGAAATACAAGCAATTAACAATAGAACTCCCCTATGACCCAGCAATAGCACTGCTAGGAATTTACCCAAGGGATACAGGAGTGCTGACCCAGGAGCACATGTACCCCAATGTTCATAGCAGCACTCTCAACAATAGCCAAGACATGGAAAGAGCCTAAATGTCCATCAATGGACGAATGGATCAAGAAGATGTGGTTTATCTATACCATGGGATACTACATGGCAATGAGAAAGAATGATATCTGGCCATGTGTAGCAACATGGATGGAACTTGAGGGTGTTATGCTGGGCGAAATAAGTCTGGCAGAGAAGGACAGAAACCATATGTTTGCACGTATAGGTGGATTAGGAGGAACTTAACAGAGGACTGTGGGGGAGGAGAAGGGGAAAAATAGTTGGGGAGAGGGAGGGAGGCAAACCATGAGAGACTCTTGAATACTGAGAACAAACTGAGGGCTGATGGGGGTGGGGGAGAGGGGAAGGGGGGGTGATGAGCATGGGGAAGGGCACTTATTGGGATGAGCACTGGGTGTTATATGTAAACCAACTAGACAATACACTAAAAAAAATAATTCCATCAAATCCAAGTTACATATTCTAGAGCTCTTTATAAATATATGTGTATATACCCATTTTTTTTCTTTTCTGCTTTTCTTATTTAGCACTCCTCTTCAAACCCTACTTTCCATAAGGTTCTCAGCTTATGAGGGTGGCTTCTGTTATTATATTCTAAAAACAGACACTTTAATCATTCACTACATACTAATTTGCAGCACATGATGTTCCACAGCAGGGGGATGCTTTATAAATAATATTAGCTTTCAAAGACAGATTGTCACATATAGAGTAATGCTGTATCTAGAGCAAACTTCAGAGCTTTTTTTAAGAGAAAAAAATTATAAAGGCAATGAAATCACCAATACTACATTTAGAATGAATTATAAATATTTCCAATTTAAAACACTTGAAATCTACAGTTAAGTAAGTTTAATTTCTGAATATATTTTCTTCTCTATTTATACTCAGTAAGTTAAATATAGCTCCAAATTATCTCACCTGGAGGTTGCTGAGGCCAAAAGTACTGCTGCCAATCCTGAAGTACATAGGTAAAGCGAATAGCAATACTAACTGGAGGCAAAGGAGTTAAAGGACATCCCTAGGAAATAAATGCAAAGACAACATTCTGTAGCTTTAAAGAAAGTGTAAAAACAATGCCAGAGAGCAAATTACATTAACAACAAGTTGTCTGGGGTGCTTGGGTGGCTCAGTCAGTTAAGAGTCCAGCTCAGGTCAGGCTCAGGTCATGAATTCACAGTTCCTGAGATCTAACCCTACGTTAGGCCTGCCTGGGATTCTCTCTCCTTTTCTCTATGCTCCTTCCCCAATGTATGCACAGTCTCTCTCAAAATAAGTAAATAAACTTAAAAAAATGAAGCTGTTTAAACTACCTGGAAACAAAATAAATGCTCCTTCAAAATATTTTTAACAATTTTAATTATACAAATATAATTCCTTACTATTCTGTTCAGCAATAATGAATGTGGAACAAAATGTCATACCTTATTTTTTTTTTTTTTACAGTAAGGCAAAACTATTACAAAGAATAAGACCAGGATTGAGGAAATGATGTCTTTTCTTTCTTTCAAACAAAAATAAACTCAAATTAAAGCCAGTCTCGAATATTTAACCAGAATTTTTAGACTAACACAAATGGCCATTCATGCAAAATTGTTTATATTGATCAGTTAAAAATTTAGATTGATCTTTGCATTCATTAAAAATCATAAAAGTTAGGAGCGCCTGGGTGGCTCAGTCGGTTAAGTATCTGACTTTAGCTCAGGTCATGATCTCATAGCTTATGGGTTCAAGCTCCGCATCAGGTTCTGTGCTGACAGCCCAGAGCCTGAAACCTGCTTCAAATTTTATGTCTCCGTCTCTCTCTGCTCTTCCCCATCTCATATTCTGTCTCTGTCTCAAAAATAAACAAACATTGGGGCGCCTGGGTGGCTTAGTCGGTTAAGCGTCCGACTTTCGCTTAGGTCATGATCTCGCAGTTCGTGGGTTTGAGCCCCGCGTCAGGCTCTGTGCGGACTGCCAGCTCAGAGCCTGGAGCCTCTTTCAGTCTGTGACTCCCTCTCTCTCTGACCCTCCCCTGCTCACGCTGTCTCTCTCTCTCTCCTAGAAATAAATAATTTTAAAAAATAAATAAATAAATAAACAAACATTAAAAAAAACTTTTTCTAAATCATGAAAATTAATATCATCCAAACATCCTATGAGCTCAGCTTCCCTTAATAATGGTTAACCTACATTAATGTGGACTAGGACTCAAATATACACAGGAATCACCTAGGGAACATGTGAAAACATAGATTCATGGGAATTTTGCATATTTAACCAGTTACCTGGGGTTGCTGATATTGCTAATCAGGAAGAATTTAGCTCAACAACATCTATCAATGTCACTAGCAGCTCTAACAATACAAACTCGATTTAAAGTTACAATATAAGGTGGCTGCCCAAAAAAAGATTATTTACTTTTGGGCTGCTGTATCCTACAAACACAAGTAAGATTTGGGCTGGTAAGAATAATAATAAACTTTTTAGTCAAGTCGAGATATTAAATGAGTGTTCACCAGTAATAAGGTACAAATAGTCTAGAAACCACAACAAAGTTGCCTTGACACATAACCTCTGCTCCAGTTCCATAGCAACATAGATAAATATAGAGAGATAACCGGAAAGAAATAGCTAGGATCAAATATGACATAAATATCTTTGTGAGCCCTAGAAAATAAGGTACAGAAAATCCAAAGTTTCAAGGTAGATGCCTCCTGAGTTCCAGGTGTGGAAGTAGACAGTGACAGCCTAGGATTACAGACTGCATTATGTGGAACCACAAGTTCAACTATACCCAGAGTGAGCGCACTGCAAGACTCTGCTTAAGGCAGACACTGGGGCAGAGCATACCTGCTTGGTACAGTAGAGTTGTTGGAAGTTCTGGGCTGGGGAGAGTTACCATGCGAGGGTGAAGGGTCAGGAACCACTCTCATAACCTGAGCAAGTAATCCAGTGATTCCAGGACCAGGTATGCAATATTCCTAATATCACCCCAGAGCAAGAGGCTCCAAACACCATTTTAAAACCCAATTCTGAAATTTTCTACAGATAGGGAGCAATCACAAAATTACAGAACTGCAAGAGAGGATGGGAGAGAAAGTTTAAAATTTTAAATATAACTTTCACTGTAAATGCACCTGGAAAGAAAATTTCCATAAAACATGAAGTAGTTCTAAGAGACAAATTCCAAATCAACCATAAAGAATATAAAACCATGAAATATAAAGAACATCTGGGGGTGCCTAGATAGCTCAATCAGTTAAGTGTCTGACTTCAGCCCAGGTCATGATCTCCTGGTTTGTGAGTTCGAGTCCCATATCAGGCTCTGTGCTGACAGCTCAGAGCCTGGAGCCTGCTTCAGATTCTGTGTCTCCCTCTCTCTGAAATTCCCCTGCTCACAATCTCTCTCTCTCTGTTTTTCAAAAATAAATAAATATTAAAAGAAAACATTTTTAAACAGTTCCCAATCTTTGTTTTGCCAGTCATGATACTGACTTTTTTAAGAGTGTAGGACAGTAACTTTGCAAAATATGGCTCATTTTGGAAATAGGAGATGGCTGTGGACCCTTCGATAGCTCAGCTGGTAGAGTGGAGGACTGTAGACTGGAAATAGGAGATGGCTCCCTGATGTTGTGACTTATGTTACACATTTTAGGCAGGAATGCAACATAGGTGGTAATATATCCTATTCAAGGTATCATACTAAGAAAGAGATACCTGATATCAGTTTGTTAAAAAGTATGATCACTTCAATGAGACAGATGTAACTTAAGCACTTAAGGGGTTATTTCTCTAAGTAGAGGACCCAATCTACCATTTAATCATCTGGTTTTGCTCTTTAACAGCTCCTCAACTTAAGCCCCAATTTGCTTTCCCCCGAGTAATACAAGCAAGTCTTCCATATCTCTGTGTTAGTGTTTTTACAGAACACCAAGGATGTAGTAAGTACATGCCAATTACCCTTACTGCTCTGTCATAAAACATAAGCCAGATTCATTTTAAAAATCAAATAAAATGAATATTTGCAGGGAGAGGCAATTTAGAATCCAGTGTTGAGACCTCAAGGAGCTCACAGTCTAAGTCTCAAACATACTTATCTGAAGAGGATGGCAATAGGTGATCCTTGAACATAAGTCTGAACTGTGTAGGTCTGCTTATAGATGAGGTTTTTACAGTTTAGTACTATAAATGTATTTTCTCTTCCTTACAATTATCTTTAAAAACATTTTTTTAAACATTTATTTATTTTTGAGAGACAGAGACAGAGAGAGAGAGCACAAAAGGGGGAAGGGCAGAGAGAGGAGACACAGAATACAAAGCAGGTTCCAGGCTCCGAGATGTCAGCACAGAGCCTGATGCGGGGCTCAAACCCACAAACTGTGAGATCACGACCTGAGCCAAAGTAAGACACTTAACCAACTGAGCCACCCGGGTGACCCCTTATAATTTTCTTAATAACATTTCCTTTTCTCCAGCTTACTTTATTGTAAGAATATGATATATAATACACATAATACACAAAATATGTGTTAAGTGTTTATGTTACTGGTGAGGCTTCTAGTCAACAGCAGGATGTTAGTAATTAAGTTTGGGGGAGTCAAAGTTATAAGTGGATTTTTGACTGGCACGTGGGAAGTGGGGTGTCAGGGCCCCAACTCCCACAATGTTCAAGGGTCAACTGTATTACTATTAGAGGAGAAGGAGCAGAAAGAGATAACACAGTAAATAAATGTTAACAAACAACAAAATTACTTTGATTAGCTGTTCTTTATCATTAGTACAATAAAAATCTAATTGGATACTGTTTCTTTAAACATACATAGTAATTTATGTAATCAATTATATCTATTCCAAGTAATTACACTGTTAGTGTTACAGAAAAATTTTTCTACAAACCCAAAAAAATGACCAAACTGCTTCTTCTATCTGGATCCCAGATAAGAATGATAATATCAGTGCAAACTCACAATCTTTGATTTGAAGATATCCAGCAGTCCTGATAAATGAGTGTACTGATTTGGCACTTTCCGAAGATGAACCATTTCAAAATCAGTTCGGACACCATGACCCTGACATTCACCTACATACATTCTTCGCCATTTGTGATGAATCTGCACAAAGAGTGGCACCTGGCTGTAGGACAAAATTCAATAGGAATAGACTTTAGGTTCATTAAACACTGAGTAATTGCTACATCTAAAAAATTTCCCATCATATTATTTTAATCTCAAATATTTAAAAACACTAAGCAAGAATCACTCATCAGACTTATATTTATAACAGAGACACTATTAGTTCCTTTTCTCCTCATACTGATAACTATTAGTTCCTTTCTCATACTAATAAGCTGAAAAAACTATCATCTAGAGGCACTTTGAGTTAGAAAATTGTTTTAAAATAGCTGAAAGTCAAAACAGACAAAATGAAAATTTTCTTGAATAAAAGCAACCAAATTAGATAGGGAAATTGAAGGACTCCATAAAAATCTGCTTTTTGTTCCTTTTCCTGTTTCTATTCTTGCTAGGACCTGCACCTCCACTTTACACACGCTTCAGAATGCAAACCCTTGTAAGAAACAAGAAGTTAATGATTTCTCTAGAACAGGTAACATCTAAGGAAGGACTAGGTGAGAATGACCAAAGCTATCATATGCATATTCCAGACCACCAGCACTGACATCGCCATGCCAAGGACCCCTGGCTCCAAGAACTAACACCTGGGCCCTCCTCTTTATTCTAACCAGTTCCTGGATGCCATAGAGGAGAGGATATGTACACCAGACCACTATCCTCAATAAAAATCCCCAGACCCCAAGCAAAGACAAGACTCCCTCCTATCCTGAGTCTCCTAGACACTCTGTCTGTACTTGCACTGTCTCTATGCCTTTAATAATCTCTGCTTTCATTTCCTGCTGACTCGTATTTGATTTCTATCCTGCACACAGCCAAGGATCCTCCTGGTTGGTCTTGAGGGAGCTTCTGTGGGGTCAGGCCTGTCGGTATCACTATATTAGCCTATCAAAGGCAAAACAAAATTTGATTCACAGGTATGAAAATACAAATTAAACCAACAATAGTGAAATAGTTTTTACTTTATCATTTGAAAATATAGCCAATACTCATTATTCAGATTTGCACCTTCGCAAATAAGCCTATTCCCTAAAATTTATTTGTACCCCAAAATCAATACTCTTGGCACTTTAAGTCATTTGCAGACATGCACGGAGCAGCAAAAAATTTGAGTCACCTGACATGGGCATTTTCAGGTGAGGCTGAATGAGGCAATGCTATGTTCTCAAGTTTTAAAATTAGATTTTGTAACAGAATTTAAATAAACATTTGGAAGTAAAACAAAAACAATACAATTTACTCTTAATTTCAAATATTTGTTGAATATTTCAGTTAAGTTTCCCTTTAGAAATGCAATCACTCAACATTTTGAGTTTGTCCTTCCCTAAGATATTCCAATATAGTAACTCACAAGCGGGAATCCTAATGATTTTTTGAAAAATCTAATACTTAATAACCATTTTCCTTCATAAATTATAATTAAAAATAGTTTAACTCATTGTCTACATTTTTCAAAATGTCCACCTACCAGCCAGTGTTTCCCAAAGCAATAGACACAGAACTCAGAAGAAGATTGCACTTAGATTCACTGAGAACTGCATCATGGTTTGCAGCAGGGGCAATCACCACAAACTCCCGCAATCCATACCTTTAAAAAAAAAAAAAAAAAGAAAAGAAAAAAAAAGAATCACTGCCATTAAACAGGGAAAATTTCAGAATACAAAAATCCATTACTTTAAAAAACTTGAAAAAATCTCCCTGAAGTTTAGCAAGTCACATCTGAACTACAGGTGTTTCTCTCTTTTTTAATAGCAATGGACAAAAACACTTATTTCCTTCATTTAGCAAAACACTTCTGTTATATTTCCTCTCTATTCTTGACAAGTTAAAAGCAGTTTGCTGAAATCACAAGCAAAAAAGAACATTAACAGTTTTGCCTTAAAAGTTTCCAAGACTTAAAGGTTGTTTTAATTAACTGATAACATTAAGTCCATTGGTGTGGAAAGATAAAAGTTTGATAAATTCCCTAAATGGTAGGGAATCAGCCATCATGTATTTGTGCTTTCTAAATGTGAGGACATGGTTTACTTAAGTATCTTAATTAAAGAATTCTTGTATTCTTTTATTCAATAACATATATTAGATAGGAGTTACAAAATATCAGAGAATCACCTACTCTTGCTACACTATCCTGCATGAAAAATTAAAACTTCTCATTTAGTTGTCAAGTCCTTTATACAAATTTGTGGTTAAACTTTACAAAAATATAAGATCAAGTTAGTGATGCTGCCCACTGAAAACTTCTATTCACTCAATTTATTTTTATTTAATGACTATTTTTATTATTTTTTGAGTTTATTTATTTGAGAGAGAAAGCAAGTAGGGGAGGAGCAGAGAGAGAGAGGTAGATAGAGTATCACAAGCAGGCTCCACACTGACAGTGTGAAGCCTGATGTAGGCCTCGAACCCACGAACCATGAGATCATGACCTTAGCGGAAGTTGGATGCTTAACCAACTGAGCCACCCAGGCACCCCTTTTAATGACTTCTTAAAAATAATTTATGAAAGGGATTATTCATTTGCCTAATTTATTTTAACTCTGGACATGTAGAGTTGTGAATGCTTATTTTTATGAACATTCTCAAGAAATCCCCCAGTGATAAAGATTAAAAAATAAAAACAATCCAACCCATAATCTGTTTATTGTTTGGATGACAAAAATTCATTTAATCTTCTTACCTTGCCTCCACCCTCCTACCCCTGAAATCAAAAGTAGTTATGCAGGAGCAATATTCAATATCTGAAAGAACCTAGAGCTGTGACTTCTAAGCTCTAAAGGTCTTTAAAAATATACTCTGCTCTTTTTTTAATGTGAACATTTTTTCCCATGCCATCACCCATACTGTGAAATCAGTCAACAGTTCTTGGTTATTCTAGAAATAGTCTGTCCATGTACTCACCATACCCTCAAATAAGATTATACTAAATACGCTTTCTTTATCTCCTTTTCAAATGCTAATCCCCTACTGATCAGTACTCTGTCTCCAGTTTTATTTGGTTGCAACAATACTACCAGCATTTATTTCTACAATTCTAACTGTGGGCTAACCTCTCATAAGTGCTGGATAAAAGAACAACTGTATCTTTAACACTGATAGCTGCTGCCTAACTATGTTCTCCCGTTACACAGACACACACACACACACACAGTTCCAGTATAAACTCCCAATAACAATAAATAAGCCAAAGTGAACTGCTTCCTGTATATCTGCAATAAAATCAACTGTGTCCTCTCTGTCTTTGTTTCCTCTAACAGGAATGTTTCCCCTCATTTTATCAATATCTACTGATACTTTTTTGAAGAGTTAACCTCAAATACCATCCTGTCATTCCATTAAATACGTTCTCTACCCTGAATTCTGTGTGCAGAATGTATCCAACTCTTCAACGGCTCCCATACATACAGTAGCTCCCTATTAAATTTCTGACTAATCCATCACTTGCCTTGAACAAGGACTGCAATCTTGGCCTAGTTCACGTGCAGGTTTTCTCGTCCATTCTCACTCAAGTCTGCTATTCTTAGATGGCAGAGCCACAGGTTTTTGCCCTCCACCTAGAATCAAGTCTGCCCATCCACTAACAGAACTTGTGGTTTTCATGACCAAACTGGAAAGCCAGTTTTCACCAAGAAAGACTGGGGAGAAGAGGGCAGTAATAGCAATAGTCACAGGCAAAAGGGCCAGAAGATACACCTTTCTTAACTGAACCTCTAGTAGTTTTTGAAAAATATATGCTTCTCAATTTGTTGTCTGCCTTTGTGCAATTGCCAGTACCCTAAAATGGTTTCCAATTTTTCTTCCTTCCTTCCTTCCTTTCCTTCCTTCCTTTCTCTCTCTCTGTCTCCTTCCTTCCTTCTTTTCTTTTGCAGAGGAGGAACTGTCAACTTATGTCATGTTGCTGTTACCAGAAATCTTCAGAACATTTTAGCTTTTGAAAGAATAAGAATATTTTATGGGTCCTTAGAGCTATTCTAAAATACCATTCTCCCAAAACTATCAGGTCCTTTTACACATACCTTGCTATAGCCAGCAAAAAAAAAAAAAAAAGGTATAAAAATCACAAAAATAAATATATTTTAAAAGCCATCGGGGCGCCTGGGTGGCTTAGTAGGTTAAGTGTCCGACTTTCACTTGGGTCATGATCTCACGGTTTGTGGGTTCAAGCCCCGCGTCGGGCTCTGTGCTGACTGCCAGTTCAGAGCCTGGAGCCTGTCTCAGTCTGTGACTCCCTCTCTCTCTGACCCTCCCCTGCTCACGCTGTCTCTCTCTCTCTCTCTCTCCTAAAAATAAATAAAACATTAAAAAAAAAAGCCATAATTATTCAACTACACAACTTAGAAGATTGTAGGCTATTTCTTTAAGTTGTTGCTGCTATTCCCTTAAAGTGTGGTTGAAGCTGAAGGTTGTCCAAAGACTAGACGAGACAAAGGCAAAACCACAAACACTAAATTTATCATGAATTAAACCCAGCTGTACTTCCTGTGTATTTTTCAAGCTTGGTAGAGCCTCCCAGGCAAATAGCATTTATGCTCTTACTTTTTGTATTGTTGCATTGTTCTCATGCTGTTGCTATAACAAATTACACAAAATCAGTGGCTTAAAACATATTTATTATCTTACAGTTCTATAGGTCAGAAGTCTGACAAAAGTCTCACCACACACCAAAATCGACTTGTCAGCAAGACTGTGTTCCTTTTGGAAGCTCTAAGGGAGAATTCATTCCTTACCCCTCCCAGTTTCTAGAGGCTCCCCTCATTCCTTAGCTCCTGGCTGCCTTCCTCAAATCAAGCAATAGCAGGCCAAGCTCTCATATTACACTACTCAGACACTGACTCTCTTCTGCCTTTTTCCCACCTTTAAGAACGCCTGTGATTTCACTGGGACCACCCTGATAATCCAAGACAAATCTCCCAATCTTGAAGTCAGTTAATTAGCAATCCTAATTTTGTCTACTCCCTTGATCCCTTCTTGCCATGTAACCTATATTCATAGGCTTTAAAAAGTAGACATCTTTAGGACATAGGAGGTTCAGTATCCTGCCTACCATTCCTTCTTATTAAAACCTCTACTCAGTAAAGACCTCATAAATTTACATTTGGGCATAAATGTCTCCTAGCTTAACATCTATATCATTTTCAGGGCTCCTTATTTTATAAGGAGTAACAATAAAGGAAATAAACCTCTACTGATGATTTTAGAAATCAGTCATTAGAGGGGCACCTGGATGGCTCAGTCAGTTAAGTGTCCAACTTTGGCTCAGGTCACGATCTCACGGTTCGTGGGTTCAAGCCCCATGTCAGGCTCTGTGTTGACAGCTCAGAGCCTGGAGCCTGCCTCAGATTCTGTGTCTCCTCCTCTCTTTGCCCCTCCCATGCCCATGTTCTGTCTCTCTCTGTCTCTCAAAAATAAACAAACATTTTAAAATATTTAAAAAAAAAGAAATCAGCCATTAGAAAATAAAGAATAAGTGTATAAGGAGATATAGTATATATATATAGAATATATATACTATAGTATATAAGGAGATATAGTATATAGAAAATAATACGTATATAAGGAGATAGAAGTGTCCAACAGACCACATCATTAAGATCATTAGACAACAAAAATTGATCATGCCCACATAACTTTTAAAGACCAGTTTTATAAAATACCCTTAAAAAAGTTAAACAGGCTTAGAGCTAATCTGACAAGTGCTTGATATAAAAATTGAAACTGCAAGATTTCAAAACAGATGTAGACAGGTAAACTATCAAAAGTAAGCAATTGCCATAAATGCCAAAATTCTACTTTCTAAAGTTTGATTTGAAAATATAAGTTAATAACACATTAGTTTAATCTCATTCTGACAGGGTCACCTATGCTAACTGTATATCTATACAATGTATAAATGAGTATTTTCTGAACAGTCTTCACATTTTCAATGTCAGTGTTTCAGTATTAACTTCAGCTTAATTTTTTAAAAAGGAAATGTTTATAGGTGAATACTTCAGTGTATGTCATTCTTCAGATGGTAAGAAACATGATAACTAAGTAACAGCCCTGAAAAGTGTAGAATTTTAATTTTTAACTATAATTTTAAAATTCTATTAAGAAAACAAGTATAAGAACATTATAAAATTTTAAGATGCCCAATTCACATTAGGCCCAAAATACACAGATATCTTCTCATCTTTTAGCATTATCAACCCTCTGCTGCTATACTTGCAGGTTTTAAATTTTAATTTAAGCATTATCATCTCTACTATTGCTCTTGTTCTGACTTGAATGTCTTTTTAACCAACTTTACCTGGCTTATTCTCACTGTCCATCAGGATTCAAGTGAGGTAATGCCTCTTCTGAAAACAATTTCCCAACTTGATCTGGATTAAAAAGAACCACCTCCTGTGAGTCTGAAGCAAGCCCTGTGCTGCCTTCCATGAGAACATTAATCAATAATGCTGCCACTGTTCCCTTACCTGGCCTCCTACTAATCCCAAAGTTTAATAAACTAAGGATCATATTGTATCCTTGGTATCTTGGTATCTCAGCATCTGGCTCACAGAAAATGTTTAAAAGGATTTTTAAAAAATCCCTTTAACATGGCTA